CCCCCCCCTCCCCTCCCCAGTACAGTGCGTTACCTCATCGGAGCTGAGTAGGTGCGTGTAACGAGCGTATGCGCGCGTTGTGCAACTCCCTGATCCTCGAAGAGAGAGAGAGAGAGGAGAGAAGCACTGTATACGTTCGATCGGCCTGGAAGCAAAACAATGTGCGGCTGGTGTAGCGCATAGTGGAGAGGAAAACTAACTCTGTGCAGCTGGTGCTGCGCGGCGCGTTGGTGTGCGTTTGTTTATGCGCGTAGATTAGCCGCACGCTCGTACTCGCGCGCGGGCAGTTCATTCAACAGCCAGCCGTGCGCTTGGACGCGCGCGACTCCCGTCGTCTGCGTTCCGCCGACGACGCGACGTTTCGAGAAAGCGAGCGGAGAGGATATCGCGCCGCCCCGCGTATTTGCCCAGTGAATCATCCCCGTCCGATTACGCACGGACGCGCGCCTGTACGTGGATATTCCGTCGTGCTCTCGTATATATACACGTCGCTATAGTGTATGCGTGTTATTGTTGACGACGTGTCTCGGGGAGAATCAGACGAGAATCAGACGAGAACGAATCGCTAATCGGGAAACGACCGTGGTGCCTATATTCTTTCATAGGAAAAGGGACTTTCTGAAAGTGAACGCTCTCTCTCTACCCCCTACCTGCGTCTGTTTATTATTACAAAGGACTCCAAGTAAACGCCGAAAAAAGAAAAGAGAGACAGTGATATCTGGCGTTAGAAGGAGAGAGAAGAAAAACATAGAGAGAAACCTCGTTGCATAGTCTGTTTATTGTGCTCGCGACAGTTTGCGTTGCGTGTTCCGCGCGTCAACATCGAGAATGCCGAGTGCCGAGGAGACGACGTATCTGATCGGCGTGATGCCGGACGGCGCGGCGCAGGCGGACGCGTTCCTGACGCGCGACGTTGACCTGTTGGTGTCGCAGATCAAGGAGAACCTACGGCTGTCCAGTCTGAAGGCCAAGTCCAGCATCAGCTGCAAGAACAGTCGGCCGTCGCCGTACCGGGTGCCGGCGCGTTCCTGGGCGGATCCGGCTGCCGGCTGCGAGGTCTGCGGTCTGCGGTCCAACGGCCAGCAGCAGCAACAACAACAGCATCACGTGACTGCTGCCCATCACCATTATCATCATCATTATCACAACCATCTAAAGAGGAGCGAGAGGAGGGTGGACGATGACCCGTACGAGGTACTTCAGGAACTGCTGCGCGAAGGCGGCCTCATCAAGGAGGCGGTCAAGAGGCTGCAGGAGAACCTCGACGAGCTCTCGAGCTCGGAAGTGGACGAGGACGACGTGGTGAACGATGAGGAGGAGGAGGACGATGACGACGACGACGTGCGACGGTCCGGTGGTGGATATCGCAGAAAACCGTATTTCTACGACTCCGAAGACGAGCCATTGCCGCCGATGTACGACCCTCTGGAACTGTGAGCCGCCCGATGGCGATGCTTGGGGAAAACTTTTACAGACGTTCCTATACGTTCTCGTCGTGAACACAATGCCGCTTTATCCCGTGGCCCCTTTTCCGACCCGTTCTTTTCCTTTATTTTGCTCTCAGTGGAAGAAACGAGATTTTAGGTATCGCTTCTTTTGTGACACGGGACGGAAAGTGTCTCGAAAAGTAGAGGATTCCGTTGAAGAAGAAAGGAAGAAGGGTATCCTATGTAAACGCGTTTCGGCCGCGTGGGAGACGACGGCGTGTGCGTGCACCACGTACGTGCGTGTGTGTAAACACAATTAGGCGAGAACTCGCCTTACATGGCCGTGTTTGTAAATACGCTGCGTTGTCGGCGCTGCGCGGCGCGGCGCGATAGCTTCGCCTGCATCGACGCTCGCGGACGGACCTACGTGGAAGACTTATGGCCGCCAACGCGGCCCGCACCCCGCTCGACTCGCTTCACCACCGTTTCGAAACGCGCACGCGAGATGTTCCTTTCCTCTATACTGTTCTACATCGCTTCGGTATATCTCGAGATCATTTATTAAATATCGCTGGCGAACTCAACGTAGTGTCGCGACGTGCCTGTTTCTATCAATGTAGATTAACTATAATCTCCTCGATTTTACTTTTCATCTTTTACTCGTGCCCCTTTCTATACTAATGTATAGTCTAATTTTAATCTCAGTTCGCGACTTTTTCTATTTCTAAGAATTAGAGAAAGATGGAGAGTAAGTTGAATTGTAGTTGAAGTTAATCTACGTCGCGATAGAAGCCGGTATAATTTGTAGAAACTACAAACAGATAAAAAGTAAGTCAAACTGAGATTAAAGTTAATCTACGTTGGTAGAAATAGCCGTTAATGCGTCATCCGCGCGTTCAGAAGCCATACGCAATATGTTCCTTTTCTGTATTGGTGCTCCGTAGGGTGTTAACGATGATTATCGGTATTCCGAACCGTTGGAAAATATCATTGGCGATAATCGCAGTGCAAGGCCGATACGATTCTTTGTATACATTTTCAAGTACCGAGCAACAAATATATGTACATATAAATTGTGTATTTAGTGTATAAACACGCACATGTATATCGATATATATGCATATCGAATACATATATAACGAAAACATTTTCTAAATTTCGATAAATATTTAAATAGTATTAACGCTAAATTTTAGAGTAAGTGTTTATTTACTCAAAAAAATGATACCTAAATCTTGTATCAAATAATATACATAGTTTTCGCAGCAAAATAATTGCGCAGCCAAACGGTTGTAACATCCTCTTTAAAGCCCAAATTGTCTCATTTTTGCTGCTACAAATTCCTCGACATTGTCATAATGACGTTGAGGCAATAATACGGTTCAAGCTGATGTTTTAAGCTTGGAATATGTTTACATTTGATAAATATTTATTAAAATTTAGTGCATTTTTTCAGTGCGTATGTGTTAATATATTTGTTGTGCATGGTATCTTGTAATTTTTAAAATATCGATAGATATCGTTATCACAGTGTAGAGTACCCGTATCATATGGATGATTCGTCGTAAAACACTTCATTAACGCTTCAAATACTAAGCGAATAACGATTAAACATATATATATGACATATTTTCTTTAAATATATTTCATTTGACGAAGCTCTGCTGGTTAGAGATTTGTTATTTCTTCGACGTTTGATGAAAAGACATCTGCGACTATTTTTTTAACGTCCTCGCGCGCGTTGTTCTAAAAATTATTTATTATTAATTATACGTTCGTACGGTATTTGAAGAGTTAATTTAGCATATTCATCATCTCGCGCAGACTATCTTGGTCGAATTGCATAAGAAGTCTGTGTTAATTAATTCCGAGTAAGCGATTCGATTGTAGCATTAAACAAGAAAGAAAGGTATAATAAAGTTTTAGTACAATTGTATCTGTTTAATAATACAATTATTTGTTTTATGTAATTGGAGTTTGTTTGCGAGTGGCATCGGAGGATTTACAGTTTAATATCCCTATAGAGATAACGACTGTAACTTGGCATAATAAAGAGTCTTTACAACTTGCCTAGGATACCGTAAACACACAAGTACTACAAAACAATAGTTGTTAATTAGTTTGTAATTATTGTATGACAGTCTCTTTCTCGAACCCGCATTATTAAACGTGAGTTTGCCGTTCGAATTCGAAAAACGGTACCGCGGAAACTTTTTAATCCTCAGAGCCGGGAACATAATGTCTGTCTTCAAGATTTCACCGCCGGTTACCTGCGAGTTAAACGGCGAATCTTGCTCGCCTATCGATTTACTGCGCTGAATCGTTATCTCACGCGATGCACGAGAACCTCCCGTCGACGTTCTATAAATGGAAGCTTTCCGTTAGAATCAGAATGCCACCCGCAAAGAAATCCAGAGTCACCGAGCGCGACGAAGGCGGGTCGTCGCTGTTATAACTTTTCGAACAAAAATGAAGTCAAAGTTCAACGAAGGACAATCTCCGCGTTGTCACGAATTAAATTACAGTACTTACAAATGTTTTAGATTCGGCACGTTTTTTTTTTTTAGCACAGACTTCGCATGAGAATATAAAGTTGTACCGAGCACGTACGAGAGTGATGAAGAGAGAGAAAGAGTACGTGAGTATCAAAAATACTTTTCGAGTTGTTAGACATGGACAATCAGGTCCTGATCCAGGATTACACAGTCAAGATTGCTATAAAACTGGAAATCAGGGAAATGATCAGAAAAATCAGTCTGGAAATTTTGTAGATCTTTTTTTTAGTAAAATTACAATTTTTAGTTTTAAAGAAGTTTAATGCGTGTACTTCACATCTATGCAATTTTGGCATACTATTATACTAATCTAATAATTAAATAGAAGCAGTGTCAGCAATATCAATAGTAGATAATAATTAATAGTAATTCATATTGCTATGTTAAATTGCTCTTACAACAAAATATTTGACAATTTTCGAATTAGAATGAAAATACATAAAATGTCGAAGTATTAAAAGTATCAGGGAGAATCATGAAGTTTTGTCTAAAAATCAGGAAAAAGTTGCATAATTTTAAGATGAGGAATTGTGACAATCCTGATAAGTCCATTTTGAACGAGTAATTCCCGTTTGCATCAACGTAGGTTAATTTTTACCTTGGTTTAACCTACTCTTATCTAATTCTAAGAATTAGAAAAAGATAAAGAATCACATTAAGATTAAAGTTATAAATTATATTTTAAATAAAATTAGTTACAGTTTTTTTATCCTTTTTCTATAACAATTTTGCCAAATTGATGTTAACATTCTTACAAGATAGGACACAATCTTTACAATTGCGACATAACAAAATAATGTTACGAAATTAGATTTAATGGTGTTTTTTTTTTGTACTAAAGAGGACCCAAAACGAGGGTCGAAACGTATACGTTATACTAATTTAATAAATTGTATATTTCATCCTGTGTTGGCTCTTATAGGCATTACTTATTATATTTTAATTTATATTGATGGAAACGGATATAACTCGCGTATTCGCGACCGATCAACGATTATCGATGCCTTTGCATGGCGGAAGTATTAGGGGGACACACAGAGACACAATGATCTCATTTATTTTTTCATGAAGAGCGCAACGAGCGGACCAGCCGATCAATGTAAGGCGAGATCATTGATAGCTTAACTTAGGCTCGGTTTAGTTTCCGACAGCTGCGTCCTTAATCTTAAAGGGTATAAGATACTGTCGTTCGTTCGACAGTATCTTGGAAAAACGGAAATAAGGAAGAAGGGTCAGAAAGAAGCTTTTTACACGACGACGTTTACGTCGACAAAGAAGTATCGGACTGATATTCATTTTGTAAACGGAAGTTCCGTAGCTCAGTTGGGACTGTGTCTATTTATGAAATTGTATGTCGAGGATAGAGTGTGATTTGGAAATTCATTAGTAGAATTAAAGGACTTACGAGGTGAAGAGAAATCGCTAAAAAATTTCAATCGTCGTACGTTTAGGGTAAAGGGCGCTGAAGTATTAACGAAGAGACGTAAGAATGTCAAAGATTTAGGTAAGACGTTGCGGGGAATCCCCGGGAGAAAAGAGAAAAAAAAAAAAGAAACAGACGCGAGGGAGGAAGTAAGGACCGCGCGTTAACGTGGATCTGTATAATAGTAGATAACGTTTTTAGCTTTACGTCCTTTTCTCTGTGCATGTTTTAGTGCATAGCTACTTATCGCTATCGATCGCTAGAGGAGAGACACGCTGTTACATACATTGTATTCGCACGTACAAGCTCGCCTGTACGCGTGCGTTGCATGAGATGGTGCTCCATTGTTGCGTGATTCATTTCACGCGAGGATGGAGAAACGAGAGACAGAGATCCATCCGTACGTTGAAAGAAAACGTACTAAATTTTAATAAATAATTGAATAGTGTTAACATTTATCTCTACGGAAAAAAATAAACATTTGCTAAATAAAAAATAATAAATCAAATTAATAATTCTTGTATTATAAATAAATATATGTTTATATTGAGGGTACATATTTCACCCTGACACACCGTTCAAACGAATATTTACTAAAATTTAGTACATTTTTTCTCTTACAATTAGTGTAATACGTACGGGGCAACTGTGACGTCACTTGTTGAGAATGATTAAAGAGGATTATTATTCCTCGCTGTCGCCACTGCAGCTCATTATTAATTTTTCGTCGCTCGACGTTCTATTCCGAAACCTCGCAATCAATTCAAAGGAGCCCTCGATTATTCCCGGGAGCGCGCGAGTGACGTCACAGCTGCAGCGTCCGGGATTTTATTGTAGATGTGGCGTGAAACGCGGTCGCGGCACATACGAATGACGCAATAAAACGACACACTTGTATGTAGCGCGACACCAGGGGCGAAGAAACGAGGATCTTTTCGTGGCTTCGCGTCGCTCTCGAACGACGGTTTGCCGCCTTATCCGACTAATTAGATAAGCTAGCAATTAGTACAACACCGCGCGTATACCTATTGCGAGCGGAGCGAACGAATTGCGTCAGGATTCCACGTTTCCGGACAAAGATGCATGTGTGCGTGCGAGAGTACATGAGTGCGAGCGAGAACGTGT